ATCAAATATCCATTGTCGTTCGATCCAAAATGAACATAGAAATTGATTACTTAATCGATGATAGGGAGTTAATTTATAATTATCATCAAAATAATCATGATATTCAAAATAAAACTTGCGTAAATTTAACATATTTTGTAAAATTAATCGTTTCCATCGATTAGCATCAAGATATGATGGATCATTAAATGTTACGATCTTCAATACTTGTAATTGAGATGATATTTTTTGAAGAAATATTTCAAAATCATCAAATTCCATATCGCATTGTTGAATAAATAGATGTGTTAAGTTAGATATAATTGGTGGGAAGGGCATTTTAAAGAATCTGGGTGGACTTGTTACAGATTTTCTACATGTTAAATGACGAAGATGAGGTAAGAAAGAAAGTAGAACAATAATATCATCGTCCATACATGGATGATCAATAATTAAATATTTTATTGAATTTGATTGTTTAACAGGATTAAATAATAATCTAGATAATCTTCCATGTTGTAATGATGAAAGTTTGAGGTATTTTAATACTGGTAATTTAAAAATCAATGAATAAATTGTGTGAAAATCAATTTGATAATCGTCAAGATGAACAATTAATTGAAAGAGACATGGTAAAAGAGGTAAATTTTGAAGAAGTTGAATAAATTGATCCGTTCTAATGAACTGAACATTTAACGTTTGAAGTTGATTGAATGATGAATCGATAGGATATAATGTAAAAAATTGATTAATAATTAAATGATCATATAAATAAAGTGAAAATATTTGTCTTTTATGAGGTAAGAGAATTTGTTTAGATTTTGATTTGATTTGAGGATAAAGTTTTACTTTGAGTTGTAAATGTGAATCTGTGATAAACCGTTGAAATCGAATATTAAGATTTATAAATGCTTTTAATATATCACAACTATCAAGATAATTGAAAATTTCCAAGAAAACTTCGTTTGATAAATCTTCAACGCATGTCATGGTCATACTATATGTAAAGAATATAATGAAAAGAAAAGAAATTTTCTCTTGTTACCCACGTCTTTTTGAAAATGCTTATATACCCGAACAGAATTTTTTTACTTTCGAAATTACCCATTCATTCTATGAAAGTTAAACGACACCTTTCAACATTATTTCATTATTTCATCATTTCTTTTTCTTCCGTTTTTATGAGTAACACCGGTTAAACTTTATCTAAGATAAAGCGGAGAAAAATAAACATCATCTTCAGCGATGCAGGTGCAGCTGTGAATGGATAAAACAGAGTAGTCATATTCATATCCTCCATTTTACGCTCTCAAAACAGTTGATATTCAACAGTGCGAAACAATGAGTTTATAATATGTCCGGAAAGTTATATCTTTGAGATTAGACTTCCATTCTATGTGAGTTTGCGTAATTAGGACCTGGTTTAGTTTCGCTCGTTTTGTTCTTGCGCAAATCGTTTTCGTAACGAATTAGTTGTAGGAAAAAGCCAGTATTTGGTTGAACGATACAACGTCGTTGAACTAGATGATCATAGGCTTCACGGAGAGTGCCATGATGATATCTAAATAATGAAACTTTAAAAATTGATATTTGGAAACTAGTGAGGTGTCCTTACTGGGTCCAGTACACTTTGCCGACACCCGCTTTGCCGACACCCACTTTGCCGACGCCGGTTCGCCGACAGACTGTTTTGCCGAAAGGTACACTTTGCCGACTACTTGTTTGGCTACCATAATTTGTTGGGTTTGCTTCTATGCGTAGGCGTCGATAAGCTGTGAACACCCGAGTCCACAACCACACTAATCTCCCCCAAACCCGCCCCCCTCCCCTACACCCACATTCATACACCTTCCCCCCACACCCACACTCACACCCTTCCCCCACACCCACACTCACACCGTCCCCCCCACACCCACACCCACACTCACATCCTCCCCCCACACCCATACCCACACCGTCCCCCCCCCCCCCCCCCCC